GGCTCTATAACTTTCCTACAGATTAAATAATACACACAGATTTGGGGTATTTTTACCAAAGAAATGTAGCATATATATACAAAATTTATATATATAAATATATATATATAAAAAATATATAACAGAAACTAAGAAAATAGGTTTGGTGTTGTTTCATTTATATAGCAAAAACAAAAGTGATTAAATATCCTTAAAAGAAAGCTCCACTTGTGTGAAGAAAATGATATAAATTTTGCTTAGCTACAGTGTTGCAGGACTGTGCAATTGCCAGTTAAAGTAGCGTAGTGCCGAATAGCAAAAAGATGGCCTGGTCACGAAGGAGGTAAACCTTCCGGTGGTTAATGAAAATCAAATACTTTGATTCACTGACATGAAACAAGAATGCAGATAAGGACTTTTCTCCAACCTGAATCTGCAGATTGGTTCCAGGTCAGTGACTAAGGATGTACTCACACTAGGCATGGTTGACTTGTACTGTGCCTGAGCAGGGGCGGACTGACAACTCATGGGGCCCCGGGCAATAGGGGATCATGGGGCCCCTGTGTCCTTGCCCAAACTCAAATAAGCCTATGAAAAAGGTACCAGGGGCATCTCATGGGGCCCCCTACTGCCCCCAGGCCCTCAGGCAGTGCCCGAGTTTCCAAATGGTCAGTCCGCCCCTGTGCCTGAGTATGACTGTCCCCACTGCCCTCTCCCACTCCAGTCTGCACTCATATTGAGCCCTGCCCAAAAACACTTTGTGTCTAGGTTCACACCTAAGCGTTTCTGTTGCATTTTACAGAAACGCACATCAGTCCATTTAACATGATTTCCTATGGGACAGGTTCACATCTGTGCTTTTTCACCCGGTATGTTTTTTGGAAAGGGTCAGGGACTTTTTTTTAAATGCAAAATGTTGTGTTTTGGGTCAATAGACTTGAATGAAGATGCTGCAGAAATGAATGTAGTACATTTTTGCATTTTTATCTGCCCAGCAACAAGTTGGAAAAAAAAGCAAAACGCATCAAAAACACATGTGCAAAAACACAAACTGCACCGCAAAGAGCACTGCAGAAACGGATCAAACGCAAACTGCATAAGTGTGAACCTAGCCTTACTATATGTCATCTTCTCTGCAGTCTGACCTCACTGATCCCTGCTTCCGTGCTCCGTGAGTGATCCATGAGAGTTCTGTGCATGAGCACAGTGAGTGATTCATGAGAGTTTTGTGCATGAGCACAGTGAGTGATCCATGAGAGTTCTGTACATGAACACAGTGAGTGATCCATGAGAGTTCTGTGCATGAACACAGTGAGTGATTCATGAGAGTTCTGTGCTTGAGCACAGTGAGTGATCCATGAGAGTTCTGTACATGAACACAATGAGTGATCCATGAGTTCTGTGCATGAACACAGTGAGTGATCCATAAGAGTTCTGCGCATGAGCACAGTGAGTGATCCATGAGAGTTCTGTGCATGAGCACAGCGAGTGATCCATGAGAGTTCTGTGCATGAACACAGCGAGTGATCCATGAGAGTTCTGTGCATGAGCACAGTGAGTGATCCATGAGAGTTCTGTGCATGAGCACAGTGAGTGATCCATGAGAGTTCTGTGCATGAGCACAGTGAGTGATCCATGAGAGTTCTGTGCATGAGCACAGTGAGTGATCCATGAGAGTTCTGTGCATGAGCACACTGAGTGATCCATGAGAGTTCTGTGCATGAGCACAGTGAGTGATCACACATATGTGTACCATGCCGGAGTCCAGTTGAACCATGCCCAAGTTTAATTCATTCAACTGGGCCAAGGCACAGCACAGAGCGATGTACTGAACAAACACTTTGGACTGGGGGTCAAACACGCTCGTGCACAGTTGGTACATACACCTTAGTGTGAGTACACCCTAAGAAACCTTAGCCACTTGCCTACAGGGCACCTTTACCCCATTCTTGCCCAGGCCAATTTTCAGCTTTCAGTGCTGTCGCACTTAGAATGACAATTTCCGCGGTCATGCAACACTGTACCCAAAACAAAAGTTTTTTCTTTTTTTTTATACAGAGCTTTCTTTTGGTGGTATTTAATCACCGCTAGGATCTTTATTTTTTGCTAAACAAATTAAAAAAGACTGAACATTTTGAAAAAAATTTAGTTTTTTCTTAGTTTCTGTTCTAAAATTTTGTAAATAAGTAATTATTCTCCTTTACGGATGTGAGCTAATGAGGCTGCAGTGATGGGCACTGATAGGCGGCACTGATGGACATTGACAGACATCACTTGTGGGCATTGACTGGCATCACTGATGGGCATTGAAAGGCAGCACTCATTCATGGCACTGATAGGCGGCACTGATGGGCACTGCTAGGCAGTACTGATGGGCACTGATAGGTGGCACTGATGGGCACTGATAGGCGGCACTGATGGGCACTGCTAGGCAGTACTGATGGGCACTGATAGGCGGCACTGATGGGCACTGACAGGCAGCACTGATGGGCACTGTTAGGCAGCACTGATGGGCACTGATGGGTACTGTTAGGCAGCACTGATGGGCACTGATAGGCGGTACTGATTGGCACTGATAGGCAGCACTGACGGGCACTGATAGGTGGCACTGATTGGCAGCACTTATAGGCGCCACTGACTGGCATTGATAGGCGGCACTGACTGGCACTGATAGTTAGCACTGAAAGGCAGCTCTGATGGGCACTGATATGTGGCATTGATGGACAATTACAGGTGGCATTGATGGGCACTGACAGGTGGTTAATGAAAATCAAATACTTTGATTCACTGACATGAAACAAGAATGCAGATAAGGACTTTTCTCCAACCTGAATCTGCAGATTGGTTCCAGGTCAGTGACTAAGGATGTACTCACACTAGGCATGGTTGACTTGTACTGTGCCTGAGCAGGGGCGGACTGACAACTCATGGGGCCCCGGGCAATAGGGGATCATGGGGCCCCTGTGTCCTTGCCCAAACTCAAATAAGCCTATGAAAAAGGTACCAGGGGCATCTCATGGGGCCCTCTACTGCCCCCAGGCCCTCAGGCAGTGCCCGAGTTTCCAAATGGTCAGTCCGCCCCTGTGCCTGAGTATGACTGTCCCCACTGCCCTCTCCCACTCCAGTCTGCACTCATATTGAGCCCTGCCCAAAAACACTTTGTGTCTAGGTTCACACCTAAGCGTTTCTGTTGCATTTTACAGAAACGCACATCAGTCCATTTAACATGATTTCCTATGGGACAGGTTCACATCTGTGCTTTTTCACCCGGTATGTTTTTTGGAAAGGGTCAGGGACTTTTTTTTAAATGCAAAATGTTGTGTTTTGGGTCAATAGACTTGAATGAAGATGCTGCAGAAATGAATGTAGTACATTTTTGCATTTTTATCTGCCCAGCAACAAGTTGGAAAAAAAAGCAAAACGCATCAAAAACACATGTGCAAAAACACAAACTGCACCGCAAAGAGCACTGCAGAAACGGATCAAACGCAAACTGCATAAGTGTGAACCTAGCCTTACTATATGTCATCTTCTCTGCAGTCTGACCTCACTGATCCCTGCTTCCGTGCTCCGTGAGTGATCCATGAGAGTTCTGTGCATGAGCACAGTGAGTGATTCATGAGAGTTCTGTGCATGAGCACAGTGAGTGATCCATGAGAGTTCTGTACATGAACACAGTGAGTGATCCATGAGAGTTCTGTGCATGAACACAGTGAGTGATTCATGAGAGTTCTGTGCTTGAGCACAGTGAGTGATCCATGAGAGTTCTGTACATGAACACAATGAGTGATCCATGAGTTCTGTGCATGAGCACAGTGAGTGATCCATAAGAGTTCTGCGCATGAGCACAGTGAGTGATCCATGAGAGTTCTGTGCATGAGCACAGCGAGTGATCCATGAGAGTTCTGTGCATGAACACAGCGAGTGATCCATGAGAGTTCTGTGCATGAGCACAGTGAGTGATCCATGAGAGTTCTGTGCATGAGCACAGTGAGTGATCCATGAGAGTTCTGTGCATGAGCACAGTGAGTGATCCATGAGAGCTCTGTGCATGAGCACAGTGAGTGATCCATGAGAGTTCTGTGCATGAGCACACTGAGTGATCCATGAGAGTTCTGTGCATGAGCACAGTGAGTGATCACACATATGTGTACCATGCCGGAGTCCAGTTGAACCATGCCCAAGTTTAATTCATTCAACTGGGCCAAGGCACAGCACAGAGCGATGTACTGAACAAACACTTTGGACTGGGGGTCAAACACGCTCGTGCACAGTTGGTACATACACCTTAGTGTGAGTACACCCTAAGAAACCTTAGCCACTTGCCTACAGGGCACCTTTACCCCCTTCTTGCCCAGGCCAATTTTCAGCTTTCAGTGCTGTCGCACTTAGAATGACAATTTCCGCGGTCATGCAACACTGTACCCAAAACAAAAGTTTTTTCTTTTTTTTATACAGAGCTTTCTTTTGGTGGTATTTAATCACCGCTAGGATCTTTATTTTTTGCTAAACAAATTAAAAAAGACTGAACATTTTGAAAAAAATTAAGTTTTTTCTTAGTTTCTGTTCTAAAATTTTGTAAATAAGTAATTATTCTCCTTTACGGATGTGAGCTAATGAGGCTGCAGTGATGGGCACTGATAGGCGGCACTGATGGACATTGACAGACATCACTTGTGGGCATTGACTGGCATCACTGATGGGCATTGAAAGGCAGCACTCATTCATGGCACTGATAGGCGGCACTGATGGGCACTGCTAGGCAGTACTGATGGGCACTGATAGGTGGCACTGATGGGCACTGATAGGCGGCACTGATGGGCACTGCTAGGCAGTACTGATGGGCACTGATAGGCGGCACTGATGGGCACTGACAGGCAGCACTGATGGGCACTGTTAGGCAGCACTGATGGGCACTGATGGGTACTGTTAGGCAGCACTGATGGGCACTGATAGGCGGTACTGATTGGTACTGATAGGCAGCACTGACGGGCACTGATAGGTGGCACTGATTGGCAGCACTTATAGGCGCCACTGACTGGCATTGATAGGCGGCACTGACTGGCACTGATAGTTAGCACTGAAAGGCATCTCTGATGGGCACTGATATGTGGCATTGATGTGCACTGATGGGCACTGATATGTGGCATTGATGTGCACTGATGGGCACTGGTATGTGGCATTGATGGACAATTACAGGTGGCATTGATGGGCACTGACAGGTGGCACTGATGGGGCTACACTGATCATCAGGACACTGATCATCAGTGCCCTGATGATCAGTGTAGATGTCCCCTCTGAGGAATAACGATTATCGGCTCTCCTCTCCTCAAGCGCTGACAGCGTCAGGAGAGGACTGCCGATAACCGGCATTTCCTATTTACATGTGATCAGCTGTGATTGGATACAGCTGATCACATGATAGAGCCGATGTCGTTGGCTCTTTACTCTGGTGATCCACTGTGTTGCAGGGACACAGCGCACCACCGATAGCCCCGCCTCACGTCCCCGGGGGCGCGCATGTGCAGTTAGTGTGGGACGACGTCATATGACATCCTCCCAGAACAGGAGAACCGCCGTCCTCCTGTCGTTTCCTTACATGGCGGGTGGGAGGCGGTTAATGTCAGTGGATCTGCATATTTTCCAGGAAATTAGCATTTTCTGAAGGAGGTCAGCAACACCTGCATTTTGCTCAGTTAAGGTTTATTATTTATTTTTCTTTAGGTTTGGATAGATTGAAAAAGAGTTAACATTTCAAATAATGCTCAATTTTCTATTTGTCTCTGTGACCCCCTTTAAGTAAATTTGTTCTCATTTCCTGTCCTTATGACACCTGTCCAAGAAATGAGGTCCAGTTGTCACCGGTAGACATGTGCAGAACGAAAAAATGTTTAGTTTAGTTTCCTATCGATTTGTTAAGGTACCCATTTTGTTTCGTTGCATTTGTGTAGTTTCATTTTATTTATTCATTTTTGACCAGATTAGAATTTTTCCAATTTTTCCAAAAGAAATATTAAATCGATCTGAATTCATTTTGAAGAATAGCTGGTTCTATTCTTGTTGAAATTCTATTTTCGGAAGATGGTTATATTCTTTCTATTTCCCTATTTTCTCTTTTTATTCTATTCTATTTTTTCTATTCTATTATTTTATATTCTATTCCATTTTATTATGTTCCTTTATTTTCTATTATATTTTATTCTATTGTTTTGTTCTGTTCTGTTCTGTTTTACTCAATTCTTTTCTGTTTTATTATATTCTACTCTTTTTGAAATTCATCTTTCGGAAGACAGTGATGTGATCAAATCAACAAAATGTAGCGACTTCTGTGACTTCCGTGCTGCACCTCCACCATAATGCACTCACCAGAAGTAAGTAGCAAGCAAACCCACAGCGGAATGACACTAAGGGGTGTTCAATTCTAATCTATTCTTTTTCTTTTCTGTTCTATTCTATTCTTTTATTTTCTATTCTATTTTAATCTTTTTTAGTCTATTCTTTTATATTCTATTCTATTCTTTTCTATGCCATTCCTTTATTTTCTATTCTTTGATTTTCTATTCTGTTGTACTTTACTCTATCTTTCTATTTTATTCGGTTTTATTCTATTCTTTTCAGAATTCAAATTTTGGAAGACAGCTTTATTCTAACACTAATACGCATTTGGGGGTTATTCACTAAAACTGGAGAGTGCAAACTCTGTCGCAGCTCTGCACAGAAACCAATCAGCTTCCAGATTTTATTGCCAAAGCTTAACTGAACAAGTTGAAGTTAGAAGCTGATTTGCTACCATGCACAGCTACACCAGATTCTGAGTGCACTGGCTTTAGTAAATCTCGCCCAGGGGTGGACTGACCATTTGGAAACTCGGGCACTGCCTGAGGGCCCGGGGTCAGAAGGGGGCCCCATGAGATGCCCCTGGTACCTTTTTCATAGGGTTTTTTTAATTTGGGCAAGGACACAGGGGCCCCATGGTCCCCTATTGTCCCATGAGTTGTCCGTCCTGGGGGCCCATGAGTTGTCAGTCCGCCCCTGATCATATTTTTTGTAGGAAATCAGCAGTAGTCAGTGATATGTTTATATTTCGAAATTGTTTTGTTTTCAAATTTGATTCAAATTTAATTTGAAATGAATTTGATTTGAATTTCGGAGGAAATTTTGTTTCATTATTTCAGAATCATTTAAATTCCTTACCGTTGTAATTCGGAAATTTGGTTACATCTGAATCTCTGCATAACCAAAATTTTGAACGCATTTTGATTCTGAACAAAACAAACCACACATGTCTAGTCATCGGGATAGAAACATACATGCAGCAATTAAAACGTTGAGGGAGATTTTCTAAAACTGGTGTGCTCAAAATTTGGTGCAGCTGTGCATGGTAACCAATCAGCTTCTAACTTCTATAATATCAATGTGCAGCACTAATACAAATGTGTGTTATAATTAATGATGACCAGTGTGATAGTAAACAGAAAGGAAACATCATAAAAAAAGAAATCAAGAATAGTGAATACTTCAATGAAGAAACAAAATGGACGGTATAACAAATAACAAATGAAAATATATCCTCTAAATATCATAAAAGTCCCAAAAATAGTGATGTGATCAAATCAACAAAATGTAGCGACTTCTGTGACTTCCGCACTGCACTTCCACCATAATGCACTCACCAGAAGTAAGTAGCAAGCAAACCCAGAGCAGAATGACACTAAGGGGTGTTCCTGCTTGTTCCTCCTGCCGGTGACTCGGTTGAAGGTGGGATCTCTCCAGAAGCCAGTGATACACCAAATGAACAATCAAAGGTAGAGTAGCCAAGTCTCCATCTCCAGCCCACTGTGAACCAAGGAAAGGGACTCCTTCTAGAGGGCAAGCTCATAGACCGAGCCTGGAGACAGTATCATATAGTGTAGTATGTTTTATTAAAAAAAAAAATAGCAACCACGAGTAGCATAAAATCATCAATGGATAAAAACTTACAAAAATGGCCACTGGACCATCACGTGGGACGTGGTGGCGTGACGTCAGCACATAGGCTCTTCTGACGCGTTTCGTGCTCATGCCTGTTCTCAAAGGCATCCACCTTCAGCTTGTTTAATTGAACTTTGGCAAAAAAAATCCTGGAAGCTGATTGGTTTCTATGCAGAGCCACACCAGATTTTGCACCATGCAGTTTTTGTATATAACCCCCACTGCCAGAAATTCTGAGCCTCCCCTACTGTATTTGTATTGCTTTGATTATTGTCTGTATCCCCATTGGGGAGATTTTCCATAACTTCCTGTCCTGGTAGAAAATCAGGGAACTTTCCCAGTAGGGATAAGAACCTGGCAGAAGCTCTAGCTCTGTTAAAAACAAAAAAAATAAATTAAATGTTTGCATGGGGTCGGGCTTTAAACCATTTATACTTGTAAGTACAGGAAGTCCCTACATTATGAGCAACATAGGTTCTGCAGGTTTGATCTTAAGTTGAATTTGTATGTAAGTTGAAACAGGTACATTTTTTAAGTGTAACTGCAGTGATGTGACCACATCCAGTGGTGGACTCTTCTTGCCGTCCTCACATCCAGAGCAGGTCTACGGGCGTGATGACGTCAGGAACAGCCCATTCACAAGACCACTAGCATGCAGAGAGGGGGGCAGGAGCGGTGGGGACCAGTCTTGCACTCAGAAGAATGGTGAATTAGGTAAGTATATCTCTGCTCTCCCTAGACGAAAAAAAAAACCGAGCAGTTAACCCATGCAGTGCCGTCACCGCACCATTGCATGCTAAAATAAAAATGTTCTTCTTCATCGAACATCTCCATCCGCATTTCAGCCATGCACCACACCATCGCCAAGTTGTAATAAACGGAATGGGAAAGCAGTAAGCATCGGATGTTCGATAATGTTTGGAAAAGGCGTCCTACGAAGAAACATTACATGAGTAGTTTGACATTCTCATTATCTCACTGTCACGCAATGTTCTTTCCATTATAATTAAAGTGCTGAATATTTTAATTTTTGGTCAAGCAACGAATTCATCAGCAAATTGCATCACTGCAAGCTTGCTCATTTCTATTAAGGTAAAATCATTTTTCTCCTAATTATTTTCCCTTCCTTGTTGTACAAAAAGCATGAGAAATGTAATTTGCTTCACAAAAGCCCCGGTTGGTACCACAAGCTGCTAGTAACCACGAAGCTAAATAGAATTGCTGGGAGGCAGCAGAATGCCATCAGTGTTATGTATTTTCTGTCTGTTCGGGTACAAACAGCGGCCCAGTGTAGATGGATTATAACTTGGCTGGCCATGTGACGGGTTACGGAAGGATTCTTAACCCTTCTGCGCTGAATTGCGTCCTGCCAAGACGACTGGAACGATCATCGCCCCCTTCCCCAGGAACTAGACATAAAGGCAGGAAGGACAGTAGATATTACTTTACAGCTGAATATTTTTCTCAAGAATATAAATAACATCCAGCGCCGGGACAAGGTACTACGGCACCCAAAATGAAATATGGGAATAAATACCCAACACAGGGTTGTTACTGTAGGAATATAGACCAGTGTTTCTCAACCTTTTTTCAGTCAAGGCACCCTTTAAAATGATGGACAGTCCCGAGGCACCCCATTATAAAATGTGAAAAACTATTCTAATAATGTTATATAACGTAGCAACATCCACACATGTAGGACACCCAACATTAGAGGTGATTTATACTTACACAACAAATACACTTTTGCACACTGGTACTGACTAGTATTCCAATGTTTCTCTTCTCCCTCCGTTTCTCTCCATCACTAAGCTAATGTGACCCCAGCACTGATGGAAATGGGCAGGGGAGGGTTAAACCAGGATGCTGTACATGCAGCCGACATCCTTCTTCTCAACTGATAATGTCCTTGGTTGTCAGGATGCCGGAGGCTAGAAGGTTGTAATGGTGCACAATGGAAACCTGTGACTTTGTGTAAGACATTTTTAGACATTTTGCCAAGGCACCCCTGAAGAAACCTCAAGGCACCCCTGGGTGAGAAAGATTGATATAGACAACGCACATCCTATTCAAACTATTTAGAAAAAGAGAGACCTCTTGATGGACTTTATAGGCACTACAACAATAGGTAAAAGTATTACTTTACTGGACATACAGGAGTACTTCGGTTTACGAATTTAATGTGTCCTGCAGGACTTTTCGTATTGCGAAAAATTTGTAAACCAAAACCATAGGAATGCAATGAAAACCAATTAGTCCGTTCCGGAGGTCAGAAAAAAGTAAAAAAAAAGTATTTTATCTGTTCAAAATTCTTTATAAAGTGCATTTTAAAGGCATAAATACTGTACAGGGACATGATTAAAAAAAAAAATGTACATGCATTGAAAACCAATTAATCTGTTCGTATTGCGAGAAAAATTTGTAAACCAAGACATTGTTCTCAATAGATTTTC